TGACAAGAATAATATCAGGAAGGTTTGAAAAAGTTGATCTGGTAAAGGAAGTATAGTCTCAGATTTTACACGTATATATTTACAATATAATTATAAATATCGTAGCACTGGAGTTAACAGTCACAATGAAAAATTGGTCGTCGTATTAATAATTTTTAATCGTTCCTTTTCAGACGGCAGTCGTAACGTTTTCGAAACTATGTCATCCCTTATCAGTGAATAAATTAACTAGATTCGCATTTTTTCATAAATTCATGTAAGATGGCTTATTTTAATTCTTAGCACGTAAGAAAAACTAGTTAACAATTAACAAAAGTATTCCCAAAGTAACAGCATGTAAAGTTCGTCTTTAACCGAATTTCCTGACCTATGGAACACGATGAAATAAATTACTATAGTAGCCTGTTAGTATTATACTATTTCCTTAAATCGTACAACGTCATCCGTAACAAAATTAATTGAACAAAGTGTACATAAATAGATTCTATTAAACATGTGTACAGTTTTTATGGACGAAATAATTTGATGAAACTGCAATCATAATCTATTACTATTCGACTTCAATGAAATACGTTTCTATTGGTATCTACAGTAATTGTACAGGGTGTCTTCAAAATCGATTAAGCGGCGATTCTACATGCAAAAATCAATTGTAAAAAATTATTAACGTTTTCTCGAACAAAAAACTGTTATCCACATTTTTCGAATGATTTTTCCATGTACAATTGTTAGCCCGTATTTCGAAGACACCCTGTACGATGAACAAACTTATCCCAAGATACCGATGCTTCTTATTGTTATATAGCTCTATGTATACGTTCGATTAAGAAATGAACTTTTAAATATTCCGTTATGATAATATTGCAGTTTGCAATACGATATATTTGTAATATTTAATTACGATATCGCCGAATCATAGCTTTCGCTAATTCCAAGTACACGTACACATCATAACACTTTTCTCCCTCGCAGATGATTGGAGAATCAAACGCTAATGTCATCGGTAAATCCGTATACTACATTTAGAATTCTATGGTGACACCTAACCGGTTTCAACAATTCCAAAAATCTACTTTCAAGATAGCAACCCTGCGTTTTGTGCGTCAAGTGATCATCGTCAGATCAAGTTTAATATAAAATATAACATTCAAAATAACATTCTATCTGCATATAAGAAATAATAAATTTATTTGCGAAATTATTTAAATGATCCTTCAATTTATGATCATTTGCAAATTATATATCCTTTAATTAAATGCTAATTTAATTATTATCTATTAATCTATAACTCGATATTTATTATCTGAAATGAACTCTGCTCCTAATGAAGCTAGCTGCAATGCTTGCGAAACGTTGAGATAACTTTTCCAAAAGGAGACGGCTTGCACCCGAAAGCCTCATCAGCAAGAACTGTGTCTTGCTCAAACTTCGCAGCCTCATGCTTGATATTAAGAAAATGAAACATGCGACCGTAGATCTTGAAACGAAGCAAACTAAATAAATACGTAACAGTAATACAATATGGCCACAACTGAAATAAAATTTTCAACGTCTTAAAATGACCGCTTCCGTATCAAGCCCCATAACGAAACCGTGATTCTACGTTCCATCGGAAGTCCCAGCTTCAGCGAAACGCCCAAGGATTCAAGAAGGAGGAGTGGTGCTGTCAGCCCGAAGCTGCGAAGGCGCAGCCTCGCTGTACGCGATATCAAAAACGCTCTTCTTCTCTAGAAGCTGTTGGTGCCTCAACCTGGCGCCGCCCTGCAGTGGTATCGCAATCCCAGAGTCGAAGTCCTCCTCGACGCGTTGATGTTCCAGCGCGGGTTCAGCTTCGAAGTGTTCAGGAGACAGTTGTGGCGAAGGATGAGGAGCCGGCGGGGGATGAAGATAAAATGGCGCCGGCAGTTTCTCGTATTTGTACTCGGAATGCTGCACGAGGTGATGCTTGGGATCTGACGGGGGTACAGCAGGCGGCGAGGTCGCGAATATCTGAACAGGAGGGTCCTCGTTCTTGCCGCCTTCGGCTTTCCTCAGCCTCCTGCCTTGTCGGACGATGGCCTTCAGCTGCTCCGACTCGACGTTCACCAGTGGCTTGACCCTGCGTTTGCCTCGCGACGAGGTCGCCTCGGCTTGCTCCTTCCTCTTCTCCTCTTTCGTCCTCTGAACTCGCATGCTTCTTCTCAGCCACCTAGGCAGCTGACTCTCGTCGTCCGACGCTTTCAGCTCGGCCCTCCTCTTCTCCATCTCCTCGCGATTCTTCTTGTACCAGGCCATGTACTTCGGCTGCGCCTTGCTCGTGTCGATCTCGCCGGCCTTGGACGAGGAACCGTGCTTCTCGTGGACCTTGGACGGCGTCGCGTGCTTCTCGTCGCTGGCCTTCCTCTCCCTGGGCCTCGCAGCCGGCTGCTTCTGACGCTGCTCTTCGTCCACCTTCTTTGGCCGACCACGTTTCGACTGTTCGCTCTCGAACTTCCTGCGAGGCCGGTGGCGAGTCTGCAGCATTTGCTCCTGCAAGTGCAGAGCTTTCTCCTCGGAGGACTCTTCGGAAGAACTCTTCTTTTTTCGCGGGGCTGGAAGCCTTCTCTTCTCTGCTCCTTTCGTCTTCCTCTCGGGCTTTGGGCTATCAGGTTTAACGCTCTTCGGAACCGGTGGCAGTTCCTTGATCGGAGACTTGTCCTTTCTTGCGCTGGAAGATGACTCGTCCGACGCGGACATCGAGCATCCTTTCTGCGCCTCCTCTTTGTCTATCCTCATGTCCACTAGCTTAGCAGTCATTTGTGTACTGGGAGATGCAGCGTCCTCGTCGCACTCGGTGTCTTCGTCCCTCGTTGTCCCGATCAGAGACATTGGAAGACCCTCGTCTCTCACTAACTCGATAGTCAGTAACACGTCCTCCTCGTCGTCCAGGCTTTGACGATCAGTGATCTCCATTGCTTGGATGGTCTCTCTTTCCAGCGACTCCCGACTGCGATGCCTCGGCGTCTGATACGGTCTTGTGGTTAGCGTCGTCTTCCTGGAAACATCACTCGATGAATCACTGTCGTCTAAATCGTCCTGTTGCGTTACTTCGGTAAAAAGAGGCAGGCTTACTTCTGGGTACTCTTCGGCGACGTATCTTCCCTTCCTCTCTGCCGTATCATCCTTCTCTTCGTCCGTTTTTCTCTGTTCTTCGTCTGGTTCTTCAGCAGCCATTGTTTCTTGTCTTCGTCTTTCTTGGTCCAAGAATGCCGCGATGCTCTCGTCCACTACGATGAAACTTTGCTTCTCGATGAAACGATCCAGCTCTGTCTGCTCTTCGGGTTTCGTTGTCTTCTTAGAATCTTTCGGAGACTCTAGTAGCAACTTCTCTTTGCTGGCCTCTTCAGACGTTGTCTGGTGATCAGTTGTTTGGGACTCGCTGCTTGCTGCACTTGGAGATTCCTCTTCATCTTTTTTCTCGATGGATTCTCTGTATATTTCTTCGGGTGGTCCTTCAGGCACGGTTTCTTGGAGTGCTTTAGCTTTTCCTGGCTTTGTATCTAACGCATCTTTTTCATGGTCTGATACATCTCTCTCTGCTGATACATCGCCGATCAATGTAAAAGCTTTCTCCTTGGTATCTTCTTCTGATTTTCTTAAATCAGTCGGCTCAGTAGTTGCTCCATCTGATCCACTCAAATCCTTCTCAACTGCTTCTTCAGCTTTTTCATCTCTGTGTTCACGGAACTCATCTGTTTCCTTCTTTTCTTCTTTCTTCATGTCATCTTCCTCTGTCTGTTGGAAAGATCTAAGCACATCCGAATGAAAGGGTTTATCGATGTCAACCGTCGATGTGGACGGGACTTCAGTGTGGCCATCGATTATACTGCAAGAAGCAGTACCATCTTCTTCTTTCATTGTGTCACTGATAGTGCGAACTGGTGTCTCAGCTGCCATAGATTTTGCTTCGTGGTCGATGAATTTCGTACTCGCTTGTTTATGGTCTAACAAGTGAACTGCTTCGACCACTTCTAAAAAAACGCCTTCGGGTTTGCTTGTCTGATGCTTTAATTGTGGTTCTCCTTGCGGTGTTTCTTCTTTCACAGTCTCTTCAACAGCGATTGGTGCTTCTGTAACACTATATTTTTCGGTAACTTGTTCTTCAGCTTGAGGTTCTGAAGAATCCTCCTCTTGTTTTATGCTCGCTCTTTTGTCATCGGACGTTTTTAGAGCAGCATCTTCGTCCTCTTTATCAGCACCTTTTGGAAGATCACTCTTTTCTTCGCTGATCAATTCCTGATATTTAACTGTTGAGACATCTGTTGTATGTTCATCTTTTTCATCACTTTGATCAGCAGCTGGTTTTACCTCTCCGACCTTCTCTTCATCATCAACTTCTGGTTTGTCCCTTAAAGGAATAGTTTCATATTCATCTCCACGTTTTTCATCTGGTTTCTCTACTTTTATGTATTTTTCTTTATCCTCATCCGCGATGATCTGTTCCTTTTCACCGACCTCATCAATCCGGACCTCTTCTGAAGCAGCTTCTTCCTTTTCATCAGAAGCTGCTGCCTTCTCTAAAAAAGCTCGTTCTTCTTCGGTACTTTCATGTTTGCTAGTCTCACTAGGAATAGTTTCTTCTCCTTTGCTTGGAGAAATTGTTTTCTCTTTGGTAGTCTCGTAATCATCGATTTCATCTTGTGCAGCAGGTTCTTCTTCGTCGCCTTCAGTCTTTTCTTTAACTTCAGGTTTAGTTTCTTTCTCAGTCGAACCGGTATCATGTGATTCGGTAACTTTGGGAGACTCCTTCTGATCAGGTACATCTCCCTTATCAGGTAAGACAGTTTCTTTATCAGTCAAATGAGTCTCTACCATTTTAATAGCAGACTCTGCTGCGTCTTTTTCACTTTCAACTTGACGATCCTCTGTCTTATGGCCCGTCGTTTCGTCCTCCGAGATTTTCCCTTCGTCTGAAACTGTTAATTGGTCATCGATTTCAATCTTCGAAACTTCTTCTTTGCCTTCTTCTTCTTCTTTATCCAAAGTTTCTTCTTTATCTTTCATTTTAAAGTCCTCTTTTGCAGTCTCAACTTCATCCCTCCTTTCTGTTTCTTCGCTTTTACCTATAATATCTTTTGCATGTTTCTCTACATCTTCAGGTTCTATCAATTCCTCTTTTTTAAATTCCTTTGCATCGTGACTTACATGATCTTTCACGCTCGTCTCTTCGTCATCTAACAATCCAAAGTGTGTTTCCATGACCCCTTTACTCGCGTCTATCAACTCAGTTTTACCAACAGTTGGCATTTCCGTCATTTGTTCCTTCTCTCTCATCTTCTCTGCATCATGCTTCTCTTCAGCATCTTCTTTAGTTCCCAAACCTAATTTCTCATCACTTTGCATCTCAAATTCCGCTGACTTCAATGTATCTTCTTCTACATCTACCTTCTCTTCATCTTTAGACGCTTCTAACACTTCATCAATCTTTCCAACATCTTCAGCCACCCCTTCTGTTTCTTCAACAATTCTCTTATCTACAGTATCACTGTCACCCTCGTGCTTCATTACTGTGCTCTCATCACTTTGCAGCTTCATTTCTTCTGACGGTTCGTCCTTGCTTTCGTGTGTTTGCGACGCATCTGTAACAACCGGAATTATAATCCCCATGCTCTCGCTGACTTCACTTGTCCGTTCATCGTCTCGTACTCTATCTTTGCTACTTACTTCCGCGATGCTCGTGACATCGGTTAGCTTTTCAGGTTCCCCATCGCTTGGCTTTTCTGAGAACTCTGCATCAAACGGCGCCACACCTTCCTCAAACACAACTGCAATTGCAGCCTCTTTCAGCTTCTCCTCCGCCTCGTGAAGATCAGGAGTCTTCGACATTGATTTCTCATCTTTGAAAGTCGCGATGTCACCCACCATTCTTTCCTCAGTCTCGTGATCTTCTTTCGTGTCCTTCTGAACCGAATGTTTCGATTCTACTGATTCATCTTTCAAAAGCATCATACCTTTATCAAATACTTCGGCTGCAATGGCTGCTTCCTTCAGTTTCTCTTTCGCTTCGTGAACATCAGCAATTCTGGATTCTTTCTTTGATTCCTGATCTTTGAGAATCACAGAGTCCCCTGTTATTTTACTCACGACCGTGTCTTCTTCTTTCTTCGTCCACTTCTCAGCTTCTACTCCATTTCTGCCTTTACCAGACGTGTCTTCAATGGTAGTCTCTTTTAGCTTTGTCTCACTCGCATCAGCAATTTTCAACGCTCTCTTTGCCTCTTGAGCTTGAGAACTCTCTGTATCTTCGGTCATCCTTTTCCCAGCTGCCTCTTCCTCCTTCTTTACCCGTTTCTCAGTCGACTGTCTCGTTACTACTGCCCCATTTTTCATTACCACCTTCTTCTCAGGACTAAAAGCTTTCTCAGCAAGTCTGTCCCTCGCTTCCTTCTCCAGATGACTAGTCTGCTGCTTCGTGCTCTCCACCTTCGTCTGATCCACAAAATCATCGCTGAACCTCTGAATCACCTTCTCCACGATCGACTTGCTAGTCCCTGATGAATCGAAGCTACTCTTCTTATCCATACTCGACAGGTTCAGCTTGTCCTTCCTAGCATCCATCTGATCCGACGTGCTAGATTCTTCAACGGTGCGATCCTTTTTCGACAACGAAGCCAGCTTCGGCGCTCTGACTGTAGCCTTCGCAACTTTCAAGGTCTCCTTCGTCTCTTTCCGCTTCTCAACGTCCTCTTCAGCCACCTGCTTCGTGGTCTCCAGTCTGCCATGCACTTGACGCTTCACTTTCTGCGCGCCAACGGCTTGCTTCTTCGCAGCTTCCTGCCGAGGCTTGCTCTGCTTCTTGCTCTTCTCGAAAAGCTCGTCGAACTCCGAGCTGCCGGTGCTCATAACGTTCGACTGTTGATACCTCAGCTTCTGCTTGGTCTTGGCAATAGCAGTCTCCTTCTTCTGTTTCACCTTCTGCTCGGGCTTCGCCGTTTCGCTCGGCTTCGCCACGTCAGGCTTCTTCGAGGCTTTCTGCCCCGGTTCCTTCTTCGGCTCCGGCTTCTCCTGGCTCGTGCTGTCACTGCCGGTGCTCTCTTGGAACTTCTTCTCTCCCAGCTTGCTGAACTTCTTGGTCAGCATGGTGAACTCCTTCTCCAGGATCCTGAAGCTCGGCTTCATCGAGCTCTCCGACTTCTTCGCGCTCTGCGACTTCATCTCCTTCTTCGGACTCTTCTCCGCCCGTTTGTCCCGTTTCACTTTGACGTCAGGAGACGACAAGGATTCGGTGCCGTTCATCTTCTGGTCGTCGCTCAGGTCTTCGCAGCTTTTCTCGCCGAAAGTTTGCTTCTTCTTCCTGAGCTCCATCGAGGAGGACGAGTCGTTTTCCGTGTCGTTCAGTATTTTGTAGCTGACGCTAGGTTGCTCCGACTTCCGGTGCTTGGACTTGTCCTCTTCGGGTTGGTAGGAGGTCCCGTTGCCGTTCAGAGAATCCGAGATCTCTCTCAGCACGTCCGGCTCCAAGGAGATCTTCCTGTCCTCCTTCACCTCCTTCATCTTCTTCTGGAGGATGCTCAGCCGCTTGTCGAAGCAAGGACTGCTCTTCTCATCGATCGGCGACTTCATCCACAAGGTGCGCGTCCTTTTCCAGTCTCCGTCGCCGTACTTCTTTCTGGACTTCAGCTTCTTCCGGTGTCTAGAGTCCTCATCCGATTCGTCGTTGTCGCTCCTGCTTCTGACGTGGCGATCCGTTTGTGTTGCTGCTGTCCTGTCTGTCTGAGTGGCAATCGCTACCTGACCAGGGAGACTTTGAGTCTCCAAGTAGCTAGCAGAGTCCAGTAGCCCGCCATCTAGGTGCCGGTTGTCCCGCTTCAGCAGTATCCGAGCCAGCAGTGCTTTCTGTCTAGCCAGCTCCAGGTCTGTGAAAGAGTACTGCGTTTTGCTAGCTTGCTCCTTGGGCATCGAAGACCTCTCAGTGCCCATCGCCTCGGTGCTCAAGCCCTCCAGCTTCTCCTGCCTCAAGGATTCCCCGATTTGAGAGCCCTTCCCAGTCTTCTGCGACTCGTAGTCCCCGTGATCGATCACCAGCCTCTGAATGGTGGGTCCTATTTCCTCGATATGCTGTCTATGGCCTAGTTCCAGTCTGTCCGGGATCAAGATGATCTCTGGCTGCTGCTGGAATATCTCTTTAGATCGCTGATGGGACTCCATGATGCGAGCTGCCTCCACGTCTTGCATCGATAGGTCCGGCCTGACTTTTTGATCTTCTATGAATCTCTGCAGGATTATGTCTTTCCCGTCGACGATCAGTGTTGTGGGACCGTGGTGGCGATGATGGGGATGACCAGTTGCGGAGTCGTCGAGTTCTCCTCTGGTCACCAGTCGGAGGACTTCCGCGTTTCCTTCGCGGTAGAAATGTTGTTCCCTTACTGATTCTTCGCCCATCGGGGGTTCCATGTAGCGGGGACCGGACCTGCATCAATTTTAATCTTGAATCCGAAAGTAATCCAATTGTAAATGTAACATAACATTGAATAATTAGTCAAGTATATATTGCGATGATAAAATTTTGCTTAACCCTTGCCGTACTAAATGGGGGGTTCCTGAGGTCATTTGAAGTAACTTTTTCCTCAGCGAAAATGCAACCCTTGCGTTTGATAGTCGAGTGTATATACGTGTGCAAAATAAAAATTGTCCATGTAAAAATTGATGTACTTCTTTTCTTAATAATTCTAACAAGTAAAAAATGATATGGCAGTATTCTTAAATTTTTTGAATGCCTTTGAATGCCTTTTTTTACCTTTGCCTGTATCCTTGACGCTGTGTGTCCGACTCCCTCTCCATTTCGTGCCGTTGCAGAGAATCCATCTCTGGCATGTCGTAACCCCTTTGCTTTGGTCCTTCCATCTCCTCCATGTACATTCTATCCTGCTCGTCCATCCGAATTTTTCTAGAATGATCATAGGAACCAGCGTCCCCTAATCTGTGAGCGTCGTGATTCAAGTGAACGTCATTCGGTGGACCGGATATATAAGCAACGTCACCGGGAAGGGAACAGTTTTTAACGTTTCTTTTATTGAACTGCCAGTTTCGTCTCGTTGGATCGGCGCTCCATGCTTGTTTCCTTCCGTTCCACGATACTAAAATTTAATGGTAGACAAATTTTGTATTAAGCAATCCTTGGACACTATTAATGGTATCACTCTATTTTATTAGATTGCGGAACATTGTGCAAAATAGATATTTGTCTACACCGATTGTGAAAAGTTGGAATCGAATTTTATGATATCTTATTATATTGCGGATCTTTGTGCAAAGTAAACAGTTGTCTACATCAATAATGAAAAAATAGGTGTCAGATTTTATGACAATTAGGTTGCAAATGTTTGTGCAACGTGAACATTGGTCTGCAACAATTATTAAAAATTGGAGTCAAGTTTTATAACTTGTTTGCAGATTTCTATGGAAAGTAAATATTTGTCTATATAGATAATGAAAAAATAGGTATCAGATTTTATGACAATTAGATTGCAAATGTTTGCGCAACGTAACCATTTGTCTACAACAATTTCCGAAAATATGGGTCAAATAAAATAGAAAATAATAGAACAATATATTGTTCTGATATTTAAATTTAAAAATTAATATTACAAAATTATATAATTTTGATCATATGTTACTGTTAATTACCTTCTGTTGTTCCAGCTGGTTGTCTATGAAGATGACGTTTCGGCCTGCCGTCTGATCTGACAACTAGAGTTTCCGAAGAATGCACCCGTCTTTTCCTTGGTGCCATATAAAACGGACAGCCGGGGCAAATGCAACAAGTGATCAAGATGGCGATGGCCAACAGCATGAGCAAGCCCAAAATAATTAACAGCCATAGCAAGAGCTTGTTTTCTGCTTTGTAGACCGTCTGAAAACAATTTCTTTTGTACTATGCATCGTGACACATAATTAATAATTAATTGATTTAAAATANAAATGCAACCCTTGCGTTTGATAGTCGAGTGTATATACGTGTGCAAAATAAAAATTGTCCATGTAAAAATTGATGTACTTCTTTTCTTAATAATTCTAACAAGTAAAAAATGATATGGCAGTATTCTTAAATTTTTTGAATGCCTTTGAATGCCTTTTTTTACCTTTGCCTGTATCCTTGACGCTGTGTGTCCGACTCCCTCTCCATTTCGTGCCGTTGCAGAGAATCCATCTCTGGCATGTCGTAACCCCTTTGCTTTGGTCCTTCCATCTCCTCCATGTACATTCTATCCTGCTCGTCCATCCGAATTTTTCTAGAATGATCATAGGAACCAGCGTCCCCTAATCTGTGAGCGTCGTGATTCAAGTGAACGTCATTCGGTGGACCGGATATATAAGCAACGTCACCGGGAAGGGAACAGTTTTTAACGTTTCTTTTATTGAACTGCCAGTTTCGTCTCGTTGGATCGGCGCTCCATGCTTGTTTCCTTCCGTTCCACGATACTAAAATTTAATGGTAGACAAATTTTGTATTAAGCAATCCTTGGACACTATTAATGGTATCACTCTATTTTATTAGATTGCGGAACATTGTGCAAAATAGATATTTGTCTACACCGATTGTGAAAAGTTGGAATCGAATTTTATGATATCTTATTATATTGCGGATCTTTGTGCAAAGTAAACAGTTGTCTACATCAATAATGAAAAAATAGGTGTCAGATTTTATGACAATTAGGTTGCAAATGTTTGTGCAACGTGAACATTGGTCTGCAACAATTATTAAAAATTGGAGTCAAGTTTTATAACTTGTTTGCAGATTTCTATGGAAAGTAAATATTTGTCTATATAGATAATGAAAAAATAGGTATCAGATTTTATGACAATTAGATTGCAAATGTTTGCGCAACGTAACCATTTGTCTACAACAATTTCCGAAAATATGGGTCAAATAAAATAGAAAATAATAGAACAATATATTGTTCTGATATTTAAATTTAAAAATTAATATTACAAAATTATATAATTTTGATCATATGTTACTGTTAATTACCTTCTGTTGTTCCAGCTGGTTGTCTATGAAGATGACGTTTCGGCCTGCCGTCTGATCTGACAACTAGAGTTTCCGAAGAATGCACCCGTCTTTTCCTTGGTGCCATATAAAACGGACAGCCGGGGCAAATGCAACAAGTGATCAAGATGGCGATGGCCAACAGCATGAGCAAGCCCAAAATAATTAACAGCCATAGCAAGAGCTTGTTTTCTGCTTTGTAGACCGTCTGAAAACAATTTCTTTTGTACTATGCATCGTGACACATAATTAATAATTAATTGATTTAAAATAGAATAATTCGTGAAATAACGATTTAATAATTAATAGTAATTATTAATCAAAATTAAAGTATGATAATGATTAATAAAATAAAAATACTGCGAAATTAATAATAATATACGACGATACTAAATTATTATTTTCATGGTAATTGTATGAAATACATATAAATAAAGACACAAAATCTTTTATTTATTAATTCCTATAAAATTTCACAACAGTATAATGATTTTTATTTTAGTTTTGGAGAAGACTTCACGGAATTGCTGATGGGTTCTTATATCAGAAAAATCTTCGAACTTCTAATTCTCTTTTGTCAATCTTATTATTTTCTATACGATCAAATTTACAAAATATGTTGGAAACTGATATAATTAATAGAGAAAAGTATCGTTTTTATAGATAACTTTTGATATGAATTTGTACCTGATTTGATATATATTTTATACTTATATTTATACTCACCACTTCTTCGCTGTGTACATTGGTAACGGTGTTGTTAACGACGGTTGTTTGGCCATTATTACTATGGGTGTTGCCATTGACAGGTGTATTAGTGTCAGGAGTATTCACCGTCGTCTCGGTGTCCGTGCCATTAATGATCCCCACGCCATTAGCTGCTAGAATTTCACGAATTTTTTCCACGTCCACCAGCGGTGTGCCTGGCTCGATTTGCTCGACGAGTGCTACGACAATGCTTCTGAAAAAGAAAAATTGAAATTGATTTGTCACAAAAATTATTAATTTTCTTCGCCATTTATTTTTACCAAATTCGTGTAGTATTTATTGCTATGCCGATGATCAATGAAAATTGTGCAAAGAAGAAATGTATAAACGAATCGATAAAATCTGAGAAACATACAGGGTGTCACCGAAATCGTGGTACAAGCTCTACGTGTATATATGCGCACTATTATCATAGAAATATATTGTCTGACAAAAATATAGATCAGGAATTATCTAATTTATTTTTATTGAATAATGAATATCAGATATTTTTAAGCACATTTTTTCAAGTGGACCAAAACGTAAGATAATTCGTAAATCTCAATAATTTTAAAAAGTCAATTGTGTTATGAATGAGTATAATTATGAACGAGTATAGTAAAAAGAACCTATCATATAAAATTCTAAAATTAAATTAATCCTTACCTGGAAAAATAATTGAACTAATTAAATATATTTCTGGTGCTACAAAGTATCAAATATTAATGGACAATCGTTTTACTTGTTTCCATTATCCATTTTTTTTTTACCAAACATGCTATCATTCTGTCCGTTTGATTATATGCAATATTCCTATTTTTTTATATAAAAAATGAAGTCAATTGGAAGAATTTAATTTGATTTTATCAAAAGATTTTGCTATAAACATTTTTAAGAAAAAGAACTCAAAAAATGTATTTTACATTATCCAGTGTAAAGAAATTAAATAATTAAATAATTTTCAGAGTAGGCTATATTTTTTCCAGGCAGTGTAGTATGAAATATTATACTAACTTTTTGCCTTCCCCGGGTAGAGTCGTGCTGCCAGTATTGTTCTGTGGAATAAAAGGACGAATTTCTAATATCGTAACACGACCGCCAGTGATGGTCGACAAAGTCTCAGCAGTCTTTGTCGAATTTGGCTGTTCACCAGGTACCACGAACATCATTACGCGAGCCTCCATTGCTGTTCCGCTGAGGACGCGAATTTCTGTTTCGCTTGAAAGGTGGGGAATACCTGAAACATTAAACCAGTGTCAATTTGTAAATGTCTCACTGGACTTTGAAAATAAAATATCGATTGCAATCATTACTTTTAAAGTCGAAATTTAAAATATCAAAAATTAGAATAGTTTGTATTACTTTACACTACGAGTTGAATGAAAATTCATTCCCTCCGCCTAGATTTATAGGAGATCAACTGATCCAAATCAAAGAAGTATATTTTCTATTTTTAGAACATATTTTCAGAACATTTTTATTTTATGATTAATTAATCTGAATCAGAAAAGTGTATTGATTACAAAATATATTTCGTAATAATATAAAATATGGTATATTTTCTATTTTTAGAATGTATTTGATAACATTCTATTAAATTGCATGTATAATTAACTAATCTGAATCAAAGAAGTACATTGATTACAAACTATATTTTATAATAATATCAAATATGTTACATTTTCTATTTTTAGAATGTTTTTGACAACATTCTAGTATATCATTTGTATAATTTGTATAACATTTGCTTGTTACAATTGACTTTGACAATTTTTATTTTGCATACAAATTAACGACTAACGAAAACATAGGTACAGCTAAATAGAATTGTCCCTCGAATTGCGGTGAATGGATCATTTTAATGCAGTGTATTTAAATTGTGTGCTTAATTACTCAATTTTCTCGGAATTAAATAAAATAAATTGCTGTTATAAAAAATTAAATAAAATAACTGTTGCCAATAAGTATATTCAAGTATATTAAAAAAAATACATTTATTTAATATTTATTTCCGTGATCATAATTTCCGTTTCAATAACTTTTAATGTACGATTTGTAAAATTGTCGAATAAAAATGGGAATGGTTATAAATGTTGTCAATGGTATTGTTTCATCAGTAATCTAGAATTGTTTAATGACAGCTCGTAGTGAAATAGCTATTTTTAATTAATGAACGTTGGGACTGTACCTAAGTCATATGCTCTGGCAGTGAGAGTATACAATGCATTCATCTGATCACGTTTCCGCCGACTAATTTTCATCTTCATCTTCATAGCAATCGCTTCGTCTACAAGTGTTGAAACAGTTTTATTTCGACTTTTCTCCGTCGGCACGCTTTCGACCATATCGGAATAGTCAGTTAGCGTAATTCCGGGTGGGTTATTTTGATTGTTCACTAACTTCTTACCACCTTTCTTAGCGAACGTGTCATAGGCGCTTTGTTTCTTTCGTCTGATCTTCGTTATCGGCGATCGAAGAATCAATTCACCACTAGTTTCGTTCAAATAGAACTTATTCTCGTAATTGCCATGAGTTATTTCGTATCTAACTATGTTGTTGGGCGACTCTGCGTCCGCGTCAACAGCCTGCAACATTTTCAATATTATTTATTCAATCTCATAATTAGTCGACTGCGGATTTTATTTACTTAAGATAAAACTGACGTGGTGAAATATTTAACAATGAAGACGTTATTGGGAATTAAGTATTCTTGTTACATTTTTCCTAATTGTTTAAAAATCATTAATTCTTCAGTTCTTGACTGATTTCGACCCAGTGTATTTAAATCGTCACTGAATTACTCAATTTTTGACAACGAAACGAATTGCTATTACATTATGAGCTATAGTTCATAAGTGTTATTCAAATAAGCGCGATAATTGTCTCAAAAAATAATTGACTTATTTAATATTTGTTTTCATTATTATAATTTCAATTTTAATAATCTTTTCTGTACGTTCTGAAAAAATTAATTAATAAAGCTAGGAATATTTATAAACATCTCAGTTCCAGGGTTAAATTGTGAAATACATTTTTACTCAACTTCTGTTTCATACAATTAATACAAACAATCTTTATTTTGATAATTTTTTATGATTGAGAACAATGTACCTTAACAAAAGCCGGCGAAGTGAAATTCGTCAAATCCGTATTTAGCATAAACTCGTACATGCTCCTGTCGAATATCGGCGGGTTATCATTGACATCCAGCAGATTGACTATCAGAGGAGCAATTCCAGTATTTCCAGTGCCATTCGCGTCTCGAGCCTCTACGGATAATTCCAGTCTCGCGGCAACCTCTCGATCCAAGTAAGATCCCGTGCCGACTGTAATTAATCCTGTGCCCGGATCTATGACAAAGCCTTTGCTACCTTCACCGGTTATGCCAGTATAGCGAATGTCACCATAAGTTCCCGTGTCTATATCTGTAGCGTGAACCTGTTCCAAGGAATGCTAATACTTTGTAACTTGAAAAAATAGAGAAGCATTGAAAATTATAAAATGAATGGCATTGACATTACATTTTTAGTAACTCATTAATTCCTTTAACCCAAAACTTCATTAACTCATTAGCTTCATTAGGCCACTAATTCATTAACTCATATTAACAAAAGTTATATGAGTATTAACTCATTTAACAAAAGTTATATGAGTATTAACTCATTTAACAAAAGTTATATGAGTATTAACTCATATTAACAAAAGTTATATGAGTATTAACTCATTTAACAAAAGAAGTATCTAAGTATGAAATATTGCAGCTCGAATACACAAATCGTGAGCTAACAATCAAAGAATAAATTGTACCTGTATTACGCGAGACCCCACGGTGACATTTTCGGACAGCGTTACCTCGTATATTTTCTGATCAAACACTGGAGGATTGTCATTAACATCTCTTAAAAGTATCGTGACTGGCACTGACGCAGATAAATTCGTCGCGGGACCAACTTCTTGAGCAATAATCTAAGTACGACAAAACAATAATTATGAGACGGTATGAAAGTACGAAATCGATTGAGAAGTTTCAATCGGTTTTACAATTTCATCAGAATATATAGTACATAAATATTAGTATAATATTAGAAAATTAATTTAATAAATAAATTTACAATTTATTCGTTTTTACTAGGCATAATATTAATACTAATACAATATAAATATAAAGCATTACAAATTTTAAGTTAAAATAGATTATAAACCTTCAAGCTTTGTATATAAATTTTTATTCATATATAAATATTGATATTTAAGTTTTGCAATATGACGGTTGCTACGTAACTAATAACTATATATATATATTTAGTAAGTAAAAAGAATTGAGGACTACTCATTAGGGCTACCATTTAGTAAGAATGTGTGAAAAGTACCTTAAAAGTTAGAGCTTTGTACAGTTCATAATCAATGAGCGTGTTATCTCGAACAATAACAATAAAATCGGCAGTTCTTTCTGCAACAGTTGGATTGATTTCGAAGGTGCCATTATTATTCTCCAGCTTCAATGCGAACACACCAGCTTTTCCAATATCTTCGTCTTTCACTCTGGTCGTATATTGTTCGCCAAAGTTTATCACAGTACCAGGATCCAGATTCTCATCGATCATAGCAACATAACTACCATAAAACAAGAAATGTGACATTTACATTGCTTCTATACTTCAAGCACAAAATTATGTTTCATTTCAAGATACGACTGTCTCTGAATTATAACTTCGTATATTGACTGTTTTTTTTTTTAGTCTTTTAGTTATTTTTAAACTGGCGAATTCAGTGTTTACATCTTTGCACGCGTTTTGCGAAATGCGAGTAATTAGTATCGTAAATATTAATTTTTCGGTCTTTGATTTACCAAATAAATTGATTTTGTTTTATCGAGTTTGTGTGGTCTCTAGGTTGGTAATCAATGTTTGAAATTAAACTTGTCAAAGACTGTAAAAACGTACAGTGGCCTCCGGTTAAATTTACGCGAAATCTAGACAGTTAAATTTACATGATCCAACCCCACTTTTCTCTGAAAACAGTGCCTTCAGCGTTACGAGGCTTTATATCAGTACATAAGAATAAAGAATTACTGCAGCGAAAACAAAGGAGATAGACGTACATGAATAGGATTCCATGGCTGGACAAAGTAAACAATCAAGAAAGAATTTTATTCTGAGTAATTTTCGTCTTTTACTTTTATAATCGTGACACTAAAGGATAGCTGAGATTCTTCTGATTAAAATGAGTCCAAATACGATGTAATTCGGACCAGGTTTATCAAAACGCTTATTATTATACAGGGTGAACCTCAAATGATTTTAAATTAGTTGATCTTAATAATTTGGATGCCACACTAGAAATCATGATGATGAAATCATATATTTAACAATATTTCATAAAAATCATAATTTAGAAGCTACTTCAGATGTGCATGTTACGTGACTCACCCTGTGATGTAATTTATTATTTATTCCAAGAGTAGCTTGAGAATTAATCCAATTTACATCGTGTTTGGATTCATTTTAATATAATTATATTAATATAATTATAAACATAAAACAACTACTGAAAATGTTATTTTCTTTATTGTACCATAATGAATAAATAAAATAAAATAAAATAAAGTTTATTTTGTCGAGCTGCGCTAAAGTCAGTGCTTGAAAGGAAATGGCATCCGGTACATCCAGATCCGTGTAAATTTAACCGTGCATTTCCGTATTCGATTGAGTTGAATCGAAAAATGCATTTCTACGTTGCGACACAGAAGACGATCGACAAGAATCGAAATACAAGCTTTGATTTTCAGGTACCAACTTATCACTTTCGAAATATGGCGGCGTGTTGCCCGGTTCTCCAAGAAGGAAGCCAACGTCGACAACTGTCGCCTGTGCTGGTGGCTCGTCCCTGCTTCTTCGCAGTTCTTCGGCGACCACGGTGAGGACTACGGGCGCACCGACGTGCGTAATCTGCGTCAGCTCCTCCAGTGGTCTGGCAAGCGTGATTTCGCCTAGCAATGGAATTAGTAGCTTCGATTATTCGAACGTTCGCGCGGTAACCAGTATCGCATGACCAGATTAATTTTGCAAAGAATGCCGCACGTTTTCAAGATAAGTCCATTTTCTTCCGGATCTCGCGCCATTAAATTACTTTTATTATGAATAAAACATCCCGGTCAATGATCTCTCTTGCGTATTACGTGCGAACTGTGCACGACGGTGTTACGAATTTAGCATAATACATCACGGAAAGGAACTAGAATCGCTACCTTTCCAGACATCGGTTTCTGCGAAAGCGGCAAATCCTGTGGCGAAAACCCATTTACTGAAGTACCGTTTCACTAAATGTTTTCTTGATTACTGGGGGCTTTATTGATGCTTAAAAATTTATGTAACAATGTAATATTTACCATTGTTCATGGACATCAAATTCTACTATAAATATTCTACTATAAATAATAATATTAGCTTCGGTAATATACAAATGTATTTAGCAAGTTAAATAATAAATGAAAACAGCTTCTGTCAAACCTTTTTTCCTACAATGTTTAAAAGTATGTACGATCGGTAGATTGCAAATTCTACGCAGTCCTGGCAAAAATTAGTAGATGAAGTCTCAAAGAATTTAACATTAGACATTTC